CTTCAATCCCTTGTGCAACCCCGCAACAACTGTAGCAGCCCGTGCAGAAGCCGATTCAATGCTGACAACAACTGGGGCACAAGCTTAAACCCTAAGCCCCCCAAACCCTAAACCCTAAACCCCTAAAGCCCTAAACCCCAAACCCCCAAACCCCTAAACCTCTACACCCCTAAACCTCTAAACCCCTAAATCCTAAACCCCTTAAACCCTTAAGCCCAAACCCCCAAACCCCGAAACCCCAAACCCCTAAACCCCTACACCCTAAACCTCTAAACCCCCAACCCCCCAAAGCCCTAAAGCAATAGACTCGGCATCCCTATAGATCTCTTAAAGGAAGCCTTATAGGAAGCCTTAAAGGAACCCTTTAAGGAAGCCTTAAAGGAAGCCTTAGAGATCCCCCCAAACCCCCTAAACCCCTCAGCTGGAAGGCGTCCGAAAGCTGCGAGACGAAGCCGATCTCGCGCAGGTCCTGTATTTGGGTGGTTATCAAAATAGGGGTACCCTAGGGTTCCTTTAACGGGTTCCTTAAGGGTTCCATAAAGGGTTTAGGGTTTAGGGAGATGTTCGTAAGAGATTTATAGGCCGCGGTTTAGGGTTTAGGGGTTCAGGGTTTGGAGCTTAGGGTTAGGGCTTTAGGGGTTTGGGGTTTAGGGTTTAGGGTTTTAGGGGGTTTGAGGGGTTAGAGCTTGGGGGTTTTGGGGTTCAGAGGTTTAGGGTTTAGGGTTTGCGTCGTAGTTTAGGGTCTTGGTTACTGTAGAGATACTATCATAAGCGGTCTACGAACGGTTTTACAGGTATCCCTTTCCACAAGAAACATCTAGAGCACCTTCAATCAAGGGGGAAAAGGAGGGACCCTTAATGGGGACCCCTAACCTAAAATGGGCTATATAATGGGTATATAATAGCTATATACCTAGGGGTCCTTATTAAGGGTCCCTCCGGTTCCCCTTGGATTAAAAGCCCTTGCGAAACCAAATGCAAGTCCTACAAAGCATGTACAACAGCCTACATAACATCATAAAAACCAAAACCTCCTACAAAGACCTAGCAACACCTCAAACCCGAACCTTGCGACCCCTGCACAGAATCTCTGATTCCTAGAACCTACGGTTGATGATATAAATCCTGCACGACCCATAATCAGGAATATACCATGAATCCCATAGCTCAGGGTCCTTAAGGTAATGCAGGTTTATATCATCTTTAAAATCTCTGACATGCAGGTACTGCAGGAAGAGCTGCCAGCCTTGCACTCAGGGATGATGCGCTTGCGCGTCTCTAGTCTATGCGGTTGCATAAGGATTAGGGTTTGGCTGCTGTTGGTGGTGTTGCTTTAGACTCCGGTGTCTGCAAGCCAATGAGTCGGGGTCCTGAAGAATAAAGGTCCTATTGTCTAATCCTGAGGAAGAAGCGCAAAACTAGACCCGGAAACCGGCGAGATAGTGCCTCAAACTCTTGCTGCGAAACCCTCAGACATGGACCGAATGTGCCAGATTGCTTCTTTCGGGTATGTGAAGAGCCCAAGACCTGAACACCAAGCCGAGACTAAATCCTGTAGCTAGAATCATTGAGCCCAAACCCCTCAAACTCTGAAATCGTCTCCGGTACTTGATAGATTCGGTTTTCTGGTCCGAAGCTCGGAAGCACCCTTCCTGCGGCTTCTGCTGCTTGTTTTGTGTGGAGCCACGCTGGGAGAGTCCGGGACGATTTCAGGATGCTTGAGGCTTGAGGCCTATTCTTCGAGCGCCCTTTGGAAGAATCATGCAGTCCACACAATGCTCCTTGAAACTCTTTATGGCCTTTATGGTTCGAAGAAAATACATCTCACATATCCTGACATTTATGAGGTCTTACCAGGTTAAACAGGGTCTTCTAAAGTGCCTTTGTGGCATCACTCGACGAAGATTACAACTTGCACTATCACATTCGTATTCCTTGCGAGCTTAAGGTCTACTGCTTAGTACGGTGCTTTTGCAAAGCTTCGCGACCTAAATTGCAGAAGCTACAGGATAGTGCAGGGTCCTGTCCATCTACAGTAGGTGCATAGGGGTTTTAGGGTGTCGTTCAGGGTATTGGGACTTCGATTCAGAGTTACTACCAAGGGCCACTCTGCAAGCGTGGAGCTTGGAGTATTCGCTTGGAGTATTCGCTTGCTCATTGTTGCCGCTTCCGCCCGAAAGCCTTCTAGGTAGGATTAGGGATCTTTTGCAGAAGGGCTCCTCACTGGGGCGTCATGTCATATGTGTAGCACCGAACATCCCCTATCCCATCACCTCCGCCAATCGACTCAGGTTGTGTCGCAACCTGGCTGCACGCATGCTTGTGTGTCCCCTTTGTGGAGAGCCTTAACCGTGATAAACCCTCAATCCTTAATCAAGAAAGCATCGAAGTTCCCAGAGTTCACGGCACCTAGGCTTATAAGGCGTATAAGTTCGCCATAGTGCATCCGCCGAAGGATGCCTGAGAAAGTCCAGAAATTAGAACCCACTGAAAAGAGATCCTATCAGACTCATTTTCTGGGTTAACAGTGTGGCCCCCTAAGGCGTAAGCCCTAAACCGCGGCTTGCGCTTTCTTTCTACTGTTACCGTCAGCTCCAGAGAGTTATGAACTGGGGCCTTGGGAGACTCAGTGTCCGACTCCACGATTTACCTTGGGAGGGCATGAGGGATCATGGGACTTAGTAACTAGGGTTATAAGTAAGGTAACTATACTTATAACCCCAATTTAGGTACTTATAACCTGACTTACTAAGTCCCATGATCCTCCAAGTAGTGAGGTTCCAACGTTCTGGGTTGTGCTGTACCTGGGTTAGTGGGTTGGGTGGTTTGTCAGGAGTTCCAGATTTTGGGTTCGTTGAAATCAGTCATGTCAGGACAGTGGAACGTTCCGAAGCGGTAACGGACAGGACTGTGAGCTACAGTTTCGGGGATCATAGCCGCAGGGCTTTGTAAAGCAAGGTAACCGGGATTTGGATACGGATCATATTGCGGCTTGAACCAGGGCTATGACTTATGAACCCTGTCCGCCCGAGTTAGATCTGAGCTTATGAAGCCCCGAGCCCAGGTTTACTCGGGTTGAAGTCTGCGCAGTGGAAGACAACGCTGCATCGACCATTGCAAGACTGTGGAGACACCGGCGATGACTCTCATAGCCTAATATACCCATTAAACCCTAAACCCTAAACCCTTACCTGAACCCTATGCCTAACAGACACGAATCTGCAGGCTCTTAAATGTGAGTAGCAAGAGTCGTGACTGCCCGGCTTCACGAATGCCAGAGACTTAATGCACCATAGGGGCCTTAGTAATTACCCATAGCCTATGGTGTTTTAGGGGTTCCTTAATATATAGTTATAGTATTATATACACCCCAAACCCTATTCTAATCATTCAGGCCCCGACACTAAGCCCATATAGTACCACGACCCCTTTAAAGGAACCCCTCAAAGGAACCCTGTTCGAATTATTACGGCCCCTATACTATGTCTGTAGACATTCCGCGCTGATGGCGTGAGGAGTCTGCTTGGCCCTCACGGGGCCCTTGCTCTGCCAAGTGTGTACAGTCGCATCGCAGGGCGGCCGACGGAAAAGTTTAGGGTTCCTTTCAAGGGGTCTATAAGGGTCCTAAGGGTTTCTTTAAGGGTTTAGGGTTCCTTTAAATGGATCTATAAGGGTCCTAAGGGTTTCTTTAAGGGTTTAGGGTTCCTTTAAATGGATCTATAAGGGTCCTAAGGGTTTCTTTAAGGGTTTAGGGTTCCTTTAAATGGATCTATAAGGGTCGTAAGGGTTTCTTTAAGGGTTTAGGGTTCCTTTAAATGGATCTATAAGGGTCCTAAGGGTTTCTTTAAGGGTTTAGGGTTCCTTTGAATGGATCTATAAGGGTCCTAAGGGTTTCTTTAAGGGTTTAGGGTTCCTTTAAATGGATCTATAAGGGATCTATACGGGTACTATACTGGAGTTTTGGGTCTGGGGGCTGTGGGTTGAGTGATGGTTTAGGGCCTTAGGGCCTGGAAGCTTTGCGGGGTTAGCTTACTGTAATTCGGGTGTAGGGCCATCAGGTTTAGGACTTTAGGGTTTAGGACTTAGGGTTTTGGGGTTTAGGGTTTAGGGTTTAGGGTTTAGGGTTTTAGGGTTTAGGGTTTTAGGGTTTAGGGTTTAGGGTTTAGGGTGGGATGTCAAAAAAGGAAGGTCTACTTGAGAGCTTCTGTTGTATCGGGCAGGAGGCAGGCTTCTGCGGAAGTGCAACATCCAGGAGTCATGATCCAGTGAGCTTGGATGTAGTTACAGATTTCGCTTTGCCGTAGGCATGGAATACCCCACCTACACACCTGCAATAGCCCCCCCCCCCCAGCGAACGAGGTATTCGAGAGCTTTTCATGAAGAGCCCTAAACACTAAATCCAAGGCCCTAAATCCAGACACCCCAAACCCCAGACCCTTAGACCATAACCCTGGGCCCTATACCCCAAAACCCTGGACCCTGAAGACCTTAACTACAAAATCCTCCGCCTGTCTGTAGCTGCTCCATGTTAAGGATCGCCGTAAGCCCTAAACCCAAGCCCTAAAGTTCCCTAAAGCCTCAAGCTTCATGACCCTAAACCCTAGCAGCCCCGAAACTCTAAACCCCAAAACGCCGAAGCCTTCAAACTCCAAGCCCCAAGCGCCTAAAACCCTCAACCTCTAAACCCTGAACTCTAAACTATTCTAAACTCTAAACCCTGAACTCTAAACTGTTCTAAACTCTAAACCCCCAAGCTTCACGAACTCTAATCCCCAAAACTCTTGAAGCCCTGAACCCAGAGACCCTGTAAGCCCTTGAACTCCCAACCCCAACCGCCGAGGAAACCGAAGGCGCTAAAACCCCAAATAACTTTTATAGAACCCTTAGAGAACCACTGCAATAGAAGCTTGTCGAAGAATCCCTGAAGCCAGGAATAGCCATCTCGGCTCGATAGGTTTGGTCGTCTTTGCAGGATCTCTTGTTGCATGGCCCTTGGGCACATGGAGACTCCGGCGCCGTGTCTGCATCTAATGGAGTTAGGTCGCTGTAAGGGGGCTTCCCCCATATTCATTCCGTAGGGTTGAAGGTTTGGGGGTTGCGGCTTGGGCTCAGGGTTCTTAGAGCTGACACCGACACTATTGGGCTCTTGGTCATCTTACTCGTCTTCCAGGGGGTACGGGCAGAAACAATGCGACGCGCATATTACAGCTGATGGGGACCTTCACAACCTACGTTCTCCAAACTGCGGAATGATTTCAGATCGCCTGGAGCCTTTGACTCCAAAGACAAGGCAAGCAAACCCTAGAAGCCCTGAGCACCCTAAACCCTAAACCCTAGACCCTACACCCGAATCTCGGAAGTTTTTGTATGGGCAGGCCTGTATTCCTGATCCTCCAGAGTCACCCTGCGCTTCGTGGTGGGGCTGTCATAGGGGTACTAGTACCAGGTGTAGCGTTTCATATGGCAAGGATCCCGGTAACTAGATTTCAGGGTCTGAATTAGGGTTCCCTGTTCTCTGAAAGTCCCATGTACTGGTAGGAAGAACGTAAGTGAAGAACGTATTCATGGTTGTCATCATGCTAGCTTACTGCTGTCAGGTCATGATGATGGAGGTTTTCAGCATGCCCTATGCACTCTCTCAACAGAAGTGCCGCGCGCTCGGTCCTGCTTGTCTTGGGTTGGTCGGTCTCTTCGACCTTTGTAAGTCACTAGCACTGTCGGGTGGACGCCGGACATGTAGCTGCTTTAGGGTTTCTGATTCAGTTTTCAAGGTGTAGGGTTTAAGGTTCATTTTTTGACGAATGGGGTATACAGAGGGTATAGGGTGTCTTTTTTAAGTCCGCAGGCGAGGGCAGGAAGCACTTCGCCACATGCAAGAGAGATCCCAGCGACGGGAGCATCTGGCCAGAGGGAAGGCCGCGCGTCGCCGAGAACAGGCGATTCAGCAAGAAGTCGAGCGGCGACTCTCTGCGGCAGTGCAGCAGCAAGTGGCTGCACGAGAGAGTGCTGCAGCTCGCGAAGGCACGGCCATGCCTTTTCTCATGGAGGTGCTGCAGGGTTTGGTGGGTTTGGCGAGGCGGCAAGAAGAAACACAGGCCGTTCTCCAGCGCAGTTTGGAAGCTGCCGAGCAGCAGAGACGAGAGGAGGCCCGCCAGAGGACCCGAGACGCTCAAAATTGGGCAGCGGCAGTGAATCAGATAACAGACTTGGTGAGAATGCAGATGACGGGCGCGATGTCTACAGCCACACCAGCACCAGCAGGACGTGCCCCTGCAAGCTTCACTAGTAAGTCCTGGTCTTTTTCCCCCGTCACTTCCCCAAAAGCCCCAACCCTGAAATCATAAGCCCCAGTCGTACAAGGCATAAAGCCCGAAAGAAAGCCTTAAAGGGCCCCAAACCCCGGAAACACCATGGATCCAACTCTGGACTTCGGCATTTCACGGCCCATCAAGAGCCTTAACTTCATGCCCCAAAGGTACTGTTGCATCCCCCAACCTCAAACAAGCTGAACCATGAACTTGGATCCCTTCAAGGCCCTCAGCCCCAAGCCCTTCAGCTCCTCTAAAGCAGCATGTTCGGATGCATAGCATAGAAGCCTAAATAGTTACCAATATCATGCTCATGGAGCTCAAGGTTCCTTATTAGTCACGAGCTCCCAAGCTCAACTAACCAATGATATTGGGGGGGCTAAGGAGCCAGGGATGATGGTAGTCCCTCTTAACTAGGTTGGATTTTGGGACATTTTATATTTTCCTTATTTGGGTTTATATGGGGCCCTATATATAAATATTTTTCCGGGTGTTTAAAGGCCAACCCTCTTAAATGAGGAGCTAAGGAGGCAAGGGAAGCCCCAAAACCACTGGTTAGTCAATACCTTCAGAGGGCCTTTAGAGTCGACTTCCTGACCCCCTCCAAGATCCGAGCCCCAAGATTCCTGAGCCCCTCAAAGCCCGGCTACTTAGAGGATCATGGGACTTAGTAACTAAGGTTATAAGTAAGGTAACTATACTTATAACCCCAATTAAGGTACTTATAACCTTACCTACTAAGTCCCATGATCCTTTAAGTAAGGGTTTTTTTCGGGGGTAAAGCTCCTACTATAGAGCTTACAGGATGTACAGGAGCCCTCAGCCTGAATTCCCCGAGCATCAGAAACCTGAGGCCCTACACCCCCTCCTACGGTTGATGATGCAAATCTTGCATGACCCATAATAAGGAATATACCATAATTCCCATAGTTTGGGGTCATTAAGGTAATGCAGGATTTATACCATCGACCGTACAGCTATACGCCTTGTACAGACGGTATGGCCACACAGATCCCGAATCCGTCGAAGAATCCAGAATCCTACAGGCCTACTTTCTTCAAACCATACCCTCCACTCTAAACCCAAAGCCCTTAACCCGAAAACCCCGACTCCCAAACCAAAAACCCTTTAAGTCTAATCCCTAAGTCCTAAACCCCAATCCCTGATCCTTCAACCCCAATCCTTAAGACTCGATAACCTACCTTTTTAAGGACTTATATAAGGAAATCATAATACGGAACCCTAAAAAGGTAAGTTATTCCGGCTTAAGGTAATCCTTAAACCCTAAACCCTAATCATGCCCGAGCCCTAAACCCGTAGCCCCTCAAGAAGTCTCCAGCTCGAGACACCTGGGAGTTTCCGAAAATAGGGGACCCTAACATAGGACCCTAAATAGTGGGTTTAGGGTTTATAGGGTTTAGGGTGAGCCTAATATCGTACCTAAATCATAGGATCCTTGTTATAAGGACCCCAGAATAAGGTACCCCTAATTTTCGGAAACTCCCACCTGGATCTCAGGTCAGGATTCGCAGCTCCAGAGTTGGGGCAACACCGAGGCTTTGACGGGGTTCGCTTAGGGGTTCCTTCGGTTGATGATATAAATCCTGCATTACCTTGAGGACCCTAAACTATGGGAATTATGGTATATTCCTTATTATGGGTAATGCAGGATTTATATCATCAACCGTTTCAAGGGTTCTATGAGGTTACTAGAAGGGTTTGACAAGTAAAGTAGATTCTGTTAGGGATTCCGTTCAAGTGTCAGCATTCGGTTGCATATTTGGTCTTCACGGGTTTCTTGACTGGGTTCCCTTAAGGGTTCCTTCTATGGGTTCGTGTAACGGGTACTAGGTGCAGGGTTTAGGGCTTCAGGGTTTATGACCATAGGGTTTTACGTTTTGAAGGGTTTAGGGCTTTAGGGTTTGGGGGTTTTCAAGACTTACGGCCTGCAGTTGTTGAGGGCTTCAGGGTTTATAGGGTTTTGAGGTTTCGGGCTTTAGGGTTTCAGGGCCAGGCTGAAGCCAACATGATTAGTAACGCACGCATGCTTTTAGGGTTCCTTATCATGGCTGTACTACAACATATCATTAGAAGGGGCCCCCACCCTGTAATAGTGGTATAATAGGGCCCTAATATCATCCTTATAGTCACTATTACAGAGTGGGGGCCCCTTCTAAAACATATCCCAAAGTCTTCTGTTGAAGGGTGAGGCCCCTGGAGGTACGCTGCATTTTCAAGAAGCCGTGAAGTCTACTTGGAGGGTCGGGGGACTTAGTAAGTAGGTAATAAGTAAACTTATAAGTACCCTAAAAGGGGCCCTAATTGGGGTTATGGTACTTATAAGTCCCTAAAATAACTAGTTACTAAGTCCCCCGACCCTTCAAGTAGGCCCCAAGTCTACTTTGCTAACTCGCCTTACACCCCAAATCAAACCCCGTGTTGAATCTGGGCTGCCTCTATGTGTTTGAGGTCTTTGCGTTTTGTTGGTGTGTCTGGCAAAGGATTTAGGGTTTCGGTATCCTTCCTCCTCCGCGTTGGATTCCGGGTCAGGGGATTTTCCGGGTTTAAGTTTGTTTACCCGTGGCTGGAATTGCCTACTGTCTCGGAAGTGAATGAAGGAAGTGAATGAAGGCTCATAGCGTCTGGCCAGGTCTTTCCCGCTTTTCCGTGCCCACCCATGATGACCCCGACGCCCGCGTGGCAATCCTGGCCGGTGCCGATGCCGGCAGCACCCCTGCTCAATTGGAGATCCTCTTACGGTATGTTTTCTGTTTGCAGTAGTCAATAGAAATTAGATGAGCATGCGTGGTTTTAGTGGCGGGTTCTCGGGGGTATAGGCTGCAGCTTCAAGCTAGTCTTGTCTATATTGAAGCCGAGTTCGACTGTTAGCTCGGGCTTTGGGGGCTGAGGGTGTTAAAAGGGAACTCCAGAAAGTTTGAATATGGATTCATGGTAGGATCCCCTATAATTTACCTTAAAGGGGTTACGATAGTGATATTCCAACTTTCTGGCTTTTCCCTTAGGGGAGAGTTGGGTCTGGTGAGTGAGGCTTTCGGGGTGCGACCCCGCCATGGGAGCCGGAGCATTTTGCCGTAACATCTGCCGCAAATGCCCTGATCAGCATGATGCTTAAAGTACGGTTTAGGGTTTAGGGTTTAGGGTTTAGGGAGCTTAAAGCCCTATCCATTTCTGCTCTATCTAACCCTGATACATTCGCGTTCGAGTTGGGGGAAATGTCGGTTGGATGGTGGCACGGTGGTATATGGTCGCTTTCTTCAACACCCCTCAACCCTAAGCCCAAACCCTAACCCCAAAACCCTGAGCCCTAAACTCAAAGCTTAGCTCCTAAGACTTCTAGGCCTTAAGCCCACAACCCAAAACCACAGTGTTGGGGAGGTGCAGGTGCAACTCTTCTTCGCTCCAATGGTTTCTTGCGAGTGGTGTTCTACTTTGTGGGCAGTTCTCTACATTCGAATTTTCAGCGTGCCGTGGGAAGAAGGAAGGTTACATCCCCCAATACCTTATTCTGATACTAAGTTTTGAGGCACCTATGTTAGATGTGACTCCCGATCCCGATTGAGGGCCTGCCGTTTAATGTAAGCTGAATGCAACAGAGGTCTCTTCAAAGGAAGCTTAGAATGAGCCATGCTGCTTGCCCACGCCCTTCCGGAAGAAGTCTGCACACTAAATCCCAAATTCATGAACCCCCGCGAGCCCTAACTCCTAGACCTAGACCCTAAATAACTTACAAATTTTAAGGACCTATGTATAAAGAAATCATATTAGGGAACCTTGAACAGTAGGCTATTTCCAGGTAACTCCTAAACCGCATGCACCCCAAACCATTAAACCCTATAAGCCCTAAACCCCCCCAAGCCCTAACTCTTAAACTCCATGCACCCCAAACCCTAAACCCTATGAACCCTAAACCCCCCCGAGCCCTACCTCTTAAACTCCGTGGCAGGTCTGGCCGCAAGCTTGGCCTCAAGCGTGCTTCGTTCCCGGCTGCGGCGCCTGTCCCAGTCGGATCAGCGGCCAAGGGGGTCTGGGCTCAGGGCTTTGGGGTTTACGATAGTAGTCAGGATGTTTTTCTGCTTCTTAAGGCCCCTACTATACGGGATCTATAGGGTTTCCATTAAAGGGATCTATAAGGGTTCCTATAAGGGCTCTTCTAAGGGATCTATAGGGTTTCGGGGTTGGGCTTTGGGGTTTAGGGTTTAAGGGTCACTGGCTTGGGCATTGCATTCTGACCAGTGTGGCAGGGTGAGGGTCTAGGGGTCTCGAGGCTTGGGCTCGCAGGGAGTCGCATTTGAGCTTCGGGGTACTTAGGAATATTTTCTTAATTTTTGGTTCTTATAAGCCCTAAGAAACAGCTAAAACTATGATTCTTGCTAGGGTTCTAAGTTCAGCATAGTGAGGTTTAGGGATCTGGGGTTTAGCAGTTTAGGGTTTAGGGCTTTAGGGCTTTAGGGCTTTAGGGCTTTAGGGGTTTAGGGGTTTAGGGGTTTAGGGGTTTGGGCTCAGGGGCTTTGGGGTTGCGGTAGGGTGTTGCAGACCACCGGCCCCGTCCTCCCTCCATTGGTCGATGAAGAATAGTCCCTTGTACTCCATGTAGCTATGGTGCACCATACCCCAAAAGCCCCATTCAAATTTACTCAGGCACCTACATGGGAATTTCCGACAAAAGGGGACCCGAATATAGTACCCTAATTAGTAGGATCCGTATTACAAGGACCCCCAAACAATATACTCGAAACCCCCATAGATCCCTTCAAAGGAACCCTTGCATAGATCCCTTTTAAAGGTACCCCTAATTTTGGGAAACTCCCTTTTTGAATTAAAGGGTCACATGGCATGGAGACAGGTCCGGCGATGATCGTGCCAATCAATGCTTGTGCGCCTGTGGAGGCGCATTTGCGAGAGAGATGCCCAGAGAGCCCAATACCCCTTAATTAAGAAATCTACCTTGAATTTTATAAGGTGTTCATATTATGGTTTCAGGTATATTCCTTCATTAAGGGGTATTGGGTTCTCTGGATGTGGGTTCGGTTCCTAAAGTTAGCGGCTAACTTCTTCCAGTGTCCTTACCGCAAGGACCAGGCTGCCGCTGCTTACGGTCTTTGCCTGTTTTCTGACGCTTCCATACAGGGAAGGTTCTATACCGCATATCGCAAATCATGCCACATGTCTGTAGAGTCTCCAGTCTCTAGTTCTATTGAGTCTATGTAAGACAGCTGTCGAAGCAGCTCTCGCTACGCTGTAGCACGGATCCCATCAGAGAGTTTCGTCAACGCAAGCTTCTCTATGCGCCCGGTGCCCTAAACCCTAAACCCGAAACCTTAAACTCTAAACCCTACACCCTAAACCCTAAGCCGTAAACCCGAAACCCTAAACCGGAAGTGTGTAGCCCAAAGCCTCGACCCCTAAACTCGTGAGCCCACATACTACTTGGAGGGTCGGGGGACTTAGTAATTGGTTACTTTAGGGACTTATAAGTACCACAACCCCAATTAGGGGTCCTTTTAGGGTACTTATAAGTCTACTTACTACCTACTTACTAAGTCCCCCGATCCTCCAAGTAACAATAAGCCCTTAAACAAACTACAACCTAAACCCTAAACCCTCAACCCCTAAAAATACGGGATTATAGATCCCTTAAAGGAGCCTCCCAAAGCCCTGCGGCCTGGACCGACCGCGGAACCTCTGATCTTCTTAGAGCCCCCCCAGAGATCCCGCAAAATCAAACCGATCATGAGAACCCCAGACTTACCCTGTAGGCCTTATAAAGGGTACTGTAAGGGTTACTATAAGGGTTCTATAAGGGATCTATAATAGGGGTTTTATATAACATGATGGTCCCTTTTTTTGAGAGGGGGTGCCTTGTAAAGGGGTTACCATAAGGGGTCGGGTACTATAATTTCGGGGCCTTAATAATCCTGTAGCTTACCTTTGGTTAGTAGGGAATGGAGGAATGGAGTACAATCATAACTACTATTACTGCCATTCTTCCACTCCCTACTATCCAAATTGTAAGCAGAACGATCATGAGACCACCTCATCCGTAATTTGCAACCTTTGGCAAGACTGACCTTTCTAAACCCTTCTCAAACCCCATAAGACCCCCTACACAAGGTCCTGTAAAGCATAGGGTTCAAGGGCACCCTTCTGAAACCGCACAAGACCCCCTATATGCACAAGGTCCTATAACACATAGGTCCCAGGACAAAACGGCCCATGAGGATCCCACGGAAGCCTTCTGATGCCCAAAGCCCCAGGCTTCGGCAGCTGGTTCTATCGAATCCCAAACCCCCAAAACACCCTAAACCCCCGTAATCCTAAACCTAATAGAACCCTTAAAGGGTACTAAGAGGGTTCCATTTTTGGGGGTTCCCTCTTTAAAGGAACCCGAAGCCCTGAACCGAGGTTCCTCCCCAGATCCTCATCGAGGAGGTCCCCGTGCAAGGTACTAGCTCAAGCCCTGCTCTCAGCACATCAGCAGTTCTCTTAGTTAGGCTCTCCTTTTAGGGTTCCTTGAAAGGGTTCTAAGAAGGGTTTCTGTATGGTTTCTATAAGGGTACTATAAGGGAAGTTCTCTTAGTTAGGGTCCCTGTTTTAGGGCTTCAGGGTTCAGCGCTAGTTTTAGGTTTCCAAAGAGTACGGCACCCTTGTAAAAAGGACCCGAGCAGGGACCGTAGCTTAGAGAACCACCCACATCGGCTTAGTCGAAAGAGATTTGGCAATTCGACAATCGGGCGCAAACCGGTCGAATCAGTTTGAGAAAGAGGAGTTGGACCAGACGAAAATAACCTGTTGTGGTGGCTGGAATCTCCAATCTGCGTGCAAAAGCAATGACAAACAGAGGAGAACCAGGTAAACGGTAGTATCTTCATACCCGGTTCTGGAACTCTTGTATGGAAGCTTGCAGGAACTCCTAATGGAGCTTGTCAAAGCCCAGGCGAAGGTGAAGAAGCGATGCCGGCGATGACTTCGTCTTCGGGTGAGGAATCTTCATCCCCAAGGACCTTGTTTTGGATTCAGGGTTCCCAGAATTTCATGGCTTCAGGTTACGGGTTTACAAGTTTAAGGCTATACAGCTTTAGGGTTTACGGGCTTACTAGTTCAGAGTTTAAGGTTGACGGCTTTGTGTGATATGACTGTTGAGTCGTTAACACCCTAAAAACCCTAAACAAAACCCGAGAAACTAAACCCTATATAGAACCCTTAAAGGGTACCAGTAGGGTCCTATTTTGGGGGTCCCCTTTAAAGGAACTCCCCAAACGACTGTAGAACCCCCGACAAAACCCTAAACCCCTCAGCCCTAAACCCTGAACCCCTAAACCCTAAAACCCTACTTAAAGGCCACCGCATAACAACAGAAAGCCCCCCGACAAGTCGGCATTTTCCAAACGTCAGGACCGAGGAATCCTAAACCCTGTCTAGAACCCGTATAGTAACCTTATAGAACCCTTAAAGACCCCCTTTAAAGGAACCCCAGCACAGGTAGAACCCTTAAAGACCCCCTTTAAAGCACCCCCCCCCCCCCGACAAAGGACCGAGGAGGCTCCAGCTGATCCCCTCCGAGACTTACTGGGTCGTGGCCTGCTTGGTTTACGGATTTTAAGGGTGGGGGTTGAAGGGTTCCCTTTAAGGGTTCTATAAGGGTAGTATAAGGGTACTATACGGCTATACTATAAGGGTTCTATCAGGGGCACGATTACGGATTTTAAGGGTGGGGTTGAAGGGTTCCGTTTAAGGGTCCGTTTAGGGGTTCCTTTAAGGGTCTCTTTACGGGTCCTTTTACGGGTTCTATAAAGGTACTATAAGGGTGGGGTTGAAGGGTTCCGTTTAAGGGTTTTCTCAGGTTACTTTCAGGGTACTATAAGGGTATTATAAGGGTTCTTTCAGGGTATTATAGGGTACTAGAAGGGTACTAGAAGGGTTTAGGGTTCAGGGGGTTGCGGCCTTTGGGGTGCATGTTTGGTGTTTTTGGGATTGTGGTCTAGGAGTGTCCAGGGTGTTTAGGGTTTTTCGGGATTGGGATTGAGGTTTCGGGGTCTAGGAGTTTAGTCCTTTGTTGGTTTTGTAACAGAATTTCGTCGATTTTCGTGACTTTTGAAAGGTTTCCGCTGGGTCGATGGTGAGGAGGACCATGTGGGCCTGGGCGCTGTGAAAACTCAAACTTTAGGATTTAGGATTTAGGGGTTAGGGTTTAGGGTTTAGGGATTCCACCCATGAACCCGAAGGTTGATCCTGAAGGTCCGTCGGCATCTGGGTCTATCTATCCACCAATCTGCCCACGTATTTAGCTCTCTGCCCATTTACTTATTTATCGATCTATCTTTCTGTCCATCTGTTGTTCCTCTATCTATTTATGAGTCGATCTGCCCATCGAGACACTTAAACTTTTGACAGCAAGGTCTCAAGGACAAGCTGGTGGACTCGGATGAACCGGAGATCTGCGAGACACCACGTGATGAAGGTGCTTGCTGAAGCCCTAGGGGTACTGAGAAATTACTTTTTTAATTTTTGGTTATTATGTTCCCTAAACCCTAAGCCCTAAACCCTAAACCCTAAACCCTAAACCCTAAACCCTAAACAGAGAGGGTGGTATCAAGCGTGACAGTACATGGATGGAACCTGGTCCGAGAGAAGGATGACATGGTCGATGTTGATGGGATGTGTGCTACGGTGGTCCATATGAGGCTACCCTTGCCTTCCCCCAGAGGGATTTCTGACTTGCGGATTGCAGAGAGGAAAAGAGGCGTTCAAAAAAAAAAAACCCTAAAATTTCATTTTTGCTAGGGTTCTAAGTTCAGTATAGAAGCTTTCTCGAAGGGTTTACGGGAGTTTCAAGGTTCGAGGCTTAGGGGCTTCAAGGCTTAAAGGGAACTCCAGAAAGTTGGAATATGGTTTCAGGGTAGGATACCTTATAATTTACCAGAAAGGGCTTAGGATAATCATATTCCAACTTTCTGGCTTTTACTTTAGGATTAGAGGGGGTAGCAGTGGTTTATCTTCCGCTAGCTTGGTTGGCATCGCTGTGGCTGCAAGTCTTTCTTTTGGCTACCATTACTATCTTCGCTGTTGTGATTCCTACGATAGTTGTTGCTGTCGTATGCCGTATTTGCTTTGATCGCTTCCACTTCTGTGCCATCGTGCTGAGACTGCTGCTGCGTGGCCATCGCTATTGCTTCTCATCCATCCAGCGTGGTCGCCAAAACGGTTTTCGCCCGGAAGGAGTCTTTGAATAAACTTCAACGACGCAAAGGAATGCTTGCGCAATCCTGCGGGCCACAAGCAGTAGGCCACAAGCCCCAACATCACTTAGTCCAAAAAAATCGCCTTAGATGATCGGCGGACCTTGAATTTATTCGAGATGCATTTCTTAATTCAGGAGTTGTGGAGTCCCTGGATTCGCCCAACCCCGCCCCCCCCATGGTAGTAAGACTTTTGCTTAAAGGCTTTATGCCGAAGTTTCATGTATATATATATATATATATATATATATGCACATACATACATACATACACACATAGGCATTTGGGCTATGTTTGCGATGATTCTGGCTGCTGCGAACTGTCTCTCTTGTTCTGATACTTGCTAGTTGTCATTGTTGCTCGTACTTTTAGTGATACTACACATGCAGCCTGTCTTGCTACCACGACCCCAAACCCCAAACCTACGGTTGATGATATACATCCTGCATGACCCATAATAAGGAATATACCATAATTCCCATAAATTAGGGTCTTTAGGGTAATGCAGGATTTGTATCATCAACCGTATCTCCAGCCTTCTGATGCCAGGTGCGGAAGACTCCGAGGAGCTTGACAGCGTGTCACCCTGAGCTGCGGGGGTTCCTCAGGATTTCTTAGGTGTAAATAGAAATATTTCTTAAATTTTGGTTATTATAATCCCTAAGAGCCAGCTAAAATTGTAATTTTTGCTAGGGTTCTAAGTTCAGTATAGGTTTCTGTGGGCCCAAGATGCCACGTTGGGGTTGTTCTATTGTAGGGGCCCTAAAAATTAGAATAGGGTTTTGGGCAGACTATACTCCCAAGCCCTATTCTAATTAATTATTGATGCCCCACGCATGAACAAAACTCGGCGGTAAAGAGCGTCGAGGGGTTTATCGGTACTTCGGCGGGTTTGTGTATGTGGGTGTTGTAAATGTTCCCTTATGGTCCCCCCTACAGTCGTAGTAGTTTATATTCCAAAGCCTGATTCTAATTCCTCAGGCCAAAGGCCCCTCTGTTAAGCGAAACGCCTCGAGCCTCAAAACCTTCAACCTGTAGGGCGCAAGCCTCAGAGCTTGACTATGGCGGTCCCGTTCTCCACCCCAAAACCCCTCAATGAAGGAATACTCAAGGCGTCAGATTCAGAAGCCATTTTTAGTTTACAGCCGCGTGTTCCGCATTCAAGAATCCTAGAAGACTCTGGTAAACGCTCAACAGAGCTGTGGAGTCCGTGAGGACCTTGTTTAAGACGCTTGCAGAATCCTTAGGACTTTCGAGAATTTCCCTTCGTGGCCACCTTAAATTTTAGGTGCCGTATTTTGTTAGGGACCCCAAAAAGGGACCATAATTTTGACAACCACCCACCTGCTTCTAAGCCCTTTCTGACAGGCAGTCCGCCCAATGAGCCCCGCCACTCCAAAACCAACGAAACCCATGACCTTGCACCCGAAGCCGTAAAGATGATCCAGATGGGAACTTCTTACAGCTCCCTTAAAGGAACCCCCTTAAAGGAACGAACCCTAAACCCCTGAAGGGGCCCTTTAAAGGAGCACCCCCTATCAAAAGAGCCCTTAAAGGAACCCCTTAAAGAAACCCTTGAAAGGAACCCCTTCAAAGAACCCTAAACCCCTGAAGGGGCCCTGTAAAGGAGCCTGGAGTTGCTTAGGTGTCACCCATCTCCGAGCTGGCCTCTCCCCTGCTGGGGCCCCGGGCCTCAGGAAAGACTCCGAAGTAGGAGAACCCTGCTGAGTCTTTCGCCATTATTTTTCTTTGTTTGGTGATTACTATCATAAGTCTAAGGCTTTTGTGGGTCTTTACTATGCGCAGTTTTTCCAGTGATGATGATTATTTTGTCGCTTTATAGTGGGATTTTGAAAGGGACAGGGATTAAAACGCGCCGCCAAGGGTTCGGGGGGGGCCGGAGTGACTTTGTTTTCTTGTGGTTGTGTGCTTGTGTTTTGGATTTAAGCTTAGGGTTTTGGGTGTTAGGGTCATGTTCGATTTTGGGAGTGGGGGGGTGTCTCGTCGGAGTTGAAGGTTCAGATTTTCGAGCCTGACGGACGAGGTTTTCCGGCTTTACGAATTCGGGCCTTTAGGAAATCATCCATTGTGTGGATTTCGGGTTTGCGGGTCCAGGGTTTGATGCTAAATGAGTGGGTGCCAAAATTACCTAATATAATACGGCACCTACTATTTAGGGTACCCAAGAAGGGACCCCTAATGTTGACAATTACTCAAATGGTTTCGGACTTGCGGTTTGTTACAGGTTTCCGGTTTGGGGCTTGAGCGGTTAGGGTTGTTCCAGGGGTGGGTTTCGGAGTTAAGGCCGCAGGGTTTTGGTGCGTAGTGGTTTAAGAAGTTTAGGGCGAAGCGGTTCAAAGGTTTAGGATGTAGAATTTAGGTTTTGGAATCGTTGTGAATGTATATTTACAGTGGAAGCTTACAAGTTGGAAACCCAGTAGCCTCAACCCTTAAGAGTAATATATAGGGAACCCAGCACTATTTGGCCTTAATCCGGTTTCCAAGTTTATGCCAACCATCCCTGCACTCCGAAACCCTAGACTGTGTGAACCCCGTTCCCTGAGGGAAGATGGCCGGAAGATGGGCCAGGAAATCTTGAAGTTGTTTGGGGCCCAGCTAATGCCTCATGAGGGGAGATGGGATGCCTTTGTAATAATAATAGAGGTGTAACAAGGTTCTCCGGGGGCTTGGAACCCGTTTGGCAGGAGTTGCTCAGGCGTTTACAAGCTTCTTGTTTACTAGGGCTTCTATATGGTGGTATATATATATATATATATATATATATATGGCTCTGCTTTACAAGGGTTTTGGTACTTCAAGTTCCACAGATCCATGATATGAACTACGGGGTATCCATCAAGTAGCGGGTTTAGCCTCGGGCTTGCAAAGCTTCTTGTGGCGCGCCCCCCGCAGACCTTCCAGACTCCTCGAAGGAGGAACTACCAAGGCGCCTGCAGCCCCAAACACTTTGAGGCCCAAACCCTCTGACGCCCAATTCCTGAAGCCAAACCCTCATAATTACAATACGCCCCGAGCCGTATCGGCCTTAAGCCCTATGCGGACGGGACTCCTAAACCGCACCCCTCGAAACCTTTTCAAGCCGCTTGATTCTGAAATAGAGCAGAAGCTACCCACCGTATTCACCCTTTCACTCTCCTGACCAGAAGCTATCAGCCCGTTTACACGACTGTTTTAAACCCCTAAATCCTGAACCCTGATCCTCGAAGCCAGTCCAGGGACTCCAAAGATATAGGAGTTTCCGCAAATTAGGGGGGTACCGTATTTTGGGGGATCCTTTTAAGAAGGATCCCACTCTAGGGTACTATATTAGGGTCCCCTATTGTCGGAGACTCACTTGTACAAGAAATTCGAAAAGGGCTCCTGCGGATGTCTTCGTCCAAAGCCTGAGGAAGGGCCAGCATATCACTTGTAATCTGTACGAGAAGCCCTTCAATAACTCCGACAAAGTTTGAGACTCAGAGCCCTTGCTTTAAGGGCTCATTTTGGGGTTTAGTGTTTAGGGTGCTAAAACACCCCAAGCCCTAAACCCTACAAACCCTAAACCCCGCGAGCCTTAACACTTAAACCCTATAAACCCTAAGCCCTAAACCCTATAAGCCCTAAACCCTAAACCCAAAAAGCCCTGAACCCTACAAGCCCAAAAAGCCTTAAACCCTAAACCTTATCAGCCCTATAAGCCCTAAACTAACCCTAAACGCTAAACCCTCTAAACCCTAAACCCTACACCCTAAACCAAATAACCCTAAACCCGACACCCTAAGCCAAATAACCCTAAACCCGACACCCTATGGAGCCTCTCTCCGTTGCAGGCTTCAGACTCCTAGTGGACGAGTCACGATCGAGGCTTGGGAGACCTTAGGGTTTTTGGGGGGGTCGAAAAGGGATCCTTAAAGGGATCTTTAGGGGTTTAGGGATTTTCTGAGGGTCTGGGGTCTAGGGTTTTGGGGGTGGTGTGGGCGGGATGTTTAGGGGGTTTAAGTAGGCGTAAAGGGTTTTGAAAGTTCTTCTTTCTTCGGTTGTCTTTTTGGGTGGTTCTCAGAGTTGCTTTAGGGGGCTTGGTTTTGAAGTTAGTAGGGGTATTAAGGCATATTTAGGGCATAGCTTCGGGTTTCGTTGAGGGGTTTGGCATGGCCGGGTTTGGGTGCTTGGAGGTTTGAAGCGGTTTAGGGTTTAGGGTTTTAGGGTTAAGGTTTCAGGGTTTTAGGGTTTAGGGTTTAGGGTCTAGGGTTCAGGGTTTGGGGTTATGAGGGTGCCGGATGTAGGAAGCAGATCTCCCATCCGACATGTCGAACCAGAAATAAACCCCGCAGAGGATCCCCGAATACCTCAAAGCGAGAGTTTTGTAGATCCCCTTACCCTACCCTAAAAACCCCTAAATCCTAAACCCTAAACCCCAAACCCTAAAACCGTAAACCACTAAAGCCCTAAGACCCTGAACCCGGAGGTTGGGGTTCCGTAGCCTTTGGGCCTATTCTAATTATTCTAACCCTTCATTCTAGTACCCTGAAAGATCCCTTATAGTAGCCCTTTGAGGCACCCTTCGCCCTTCGCCTTACCTTTGGTTAGTAGGGAATGGAAGAATGGTAGTAATAGTAGTTATAATTGTACCCCATTCCTCCATTCCCTACTAACCAAAGGTAAGCTATAGGATTACTAAAGCCCCTGTATTATAGTACCCTTATAGATCCCTTATAGTAACCCTTATAGACCCCTTTATAAGAACCCCCCTCTCAAAAAAAAGACCATAATATTATATAAAACCCTATCATAGATCCCTTATAGACCCTTGTAAGGCCCTTTAAGGGGACCATCATTTTGATAGCTACCCCCTCTCAAGGCACCCTTATAAACCCTAAACCCTTTATGGAACCCTTATAGATCCCTTTAAGGCACCCTTTGAAGGAACCCTATAGGGACCCTGTTAGATCCCTTATAGTAACCCTTATAGACCCCTTTATAAGGCCCCTTACAGATCCCTTTAAAGAAACCCTACTTGGAGGGTCGGGGGACTTAGTAAGTAGGTAGTAAGTAGACTTATAAGTACCCTAAAAGGGGCCCTAATTGGGGTTATGGTACTTATAAGTCCCTAAAATAACCAGTTACTAAGTCCCCCGACCCTCCAAGTAGGGACCTAGATCCCTTTAAAGAAACCCTTTAAAGGAACCCCAGGGACCCTTATGGATCCCCTTATTCTAATCATTAAGGCCCCTAGGGGCCCTGAGCCCTTCGTGCCAGGAGGCATCATCGGAGGCTCCCTCGCTCAGCTCCACGAAGCGCGCGAGGCGGACCCGGCAGAAAGCTTGTCCTCCGCGATTTCTGAAGGTCCTTAGGGGGTTCTGTAAGGGATCCTTGAAGTCAAGTATAGGGTCTATAAGAGATGTTTTTTTAAGGGGGTTCTATAAGAGATCCTTAAAGGGATCTGTGGGGGTTTATCCTCGATTTCTGAGGGTCTCGGAGTCTGAAGTAGAAGTTGAGGCTCGGGGTTCCTCGGCTTTAAGTGCTGACAGTAGGAGCCAGACAGTTGGAGCATCGTTATCCTCATGCCCTTAAGTCGCAAACAGCCATGCCCCTAAACCCTAACCCGGAAACCCTAAACCCGAAATCCGAAAACCCTACACCCCCGAACTCTGAACCCCCAAACCCCCCCGGAATCCCTAAACCCTAAACCCCCAAACCCTAAACCCCTAAACCCTAAGCCCTAAACCCTAAACCCCGAAACCCTAAACAAGAAATCCCTAAACCCCAAACCCCCAAACCCTAAACCCCAAACCCTAAACCCCCAAACCCTATAGATCCCTTAAAGGAACCCTTATAGGAACCCTTATAGATCCCTTTAAAGGAAACCCTAAACCCCCAAGCCCAAACCCTAAGCCACCCCCTTTCGATCAGAAGACTTTTAGTCTTCGACCAGGAAGCATCGTCGAGGCCGCGAGGCATCATCCAGGCCCATCGGGTTCGGCGTTTGGGGGTTTAGGGATCGGGGTTTAGAGTCCAGGGTTCAGGTTTTAGGGTAGGGTTTGGGGTTCAGGGTTTAGGGTTTGGGGTGTTTAGGGTTCAGTCCCCAAGCTTTGCTGACGCAACGTCCTCCCTGCTCAACGTAGAGTGCAGACAGCGCAGACCTAGCAGCCAAAGCTACTTTTGGGGCCTTAATAATTACCTATACTATTTCGGGGATTCCTGATTATAATTATAGTATAATGTTAAGGCCCCTATATTGCGATGTCTCTGGCTCAGGGGGCAGCGGCTCTGCTGCAACTTCGTCCTTGGCATGGGATCTGACTACGTGCCTCAGAAGCACCTGAGCCTCATTGAGGGACCGGTGTTGTGGTGACCCTGGAGCCTTAAAGCCCCAAAGCCCTAAGACAGCCTACACTTTAAACGCTACTTAGAAGATCATGGGACTTAGTAAGTAAGGTTATAAGTTCCTTACCTTATTTGGGGCTATTATCAGTTATAAGTATAGTTACCTTATATACTTATAACCCTAGTTACTAAGTCCCATAATCCTTTAAGTAAGCGCTAAACACACCCGTGTCCGGCCCGCCAAGGTGCCAGCAATCATAGGGCGTCGTGGCATCAACACCAAGTCTATCTATGAGGAGACTGGCTGCAAGGTGTGCTGTCCTCAGCACTCGGAGAGGGGCGGTTAGTTGTAGTGTTTGGGGTTTCGGGTCTAGGGAAGTAGCATTTTTCTGTGACAGACAGGTTGTCTTGCTCCCTCTTCAAGTTCTCGACCGACAACGAACCTGGATGCTAACAAACATCATCTTCTTCATCGGCATCGTCAGTGTCATGCTCATCACCGCCCTTATCAGCATCCTAATCGTCATCATGGCCATGATCACCGTCGCCATTGTCAACATGATGACCCTGGGAAGTATATGGTTCTAGTTTAACAGGAACTTTTGGTTCAGTATGAACACAGATACACGCTTAGTTGTAATACACATCCTGGTAGAAACAACGAGTGTACTCAACACTAGCAGGAGCAGTATTGAGTGAAATAGTGTAACCATCGTCGCAACAATCAGCTTGTCTCGAAAGTGCCTCTAGTAAACACGAAAATAATTTGCCGTCGCAGGGAGCGGTAAGAGTCTGGAGGAGAGTAAGGCTGGCTAAACCCTAAACCCAAAACCCCCAAACCCTAAACCCGAAACCGTACATATGCACAATGACCTGCCTAAATCCACAGCCCATTGAGCCTTTAATGCCGGGCCCCTGGTCAACCCTAAACCCTGATCCCCAAACCCCTACAACCTATAGAACCCTCAAAGGGCCCCTTAAAGGAACCCCTAATCCCTAAAGCCTATTGAACCCTTGAAGGGCCCCTTCAAGGAACCCCAATCCCTAAACCCTAAAACCCATATATCCCTTAAAGGACCCCTCAAAGGGCCCCTTAAAGGAACCCCTAATCCCTAAAACAGAAAAGCCCCAACCCGGATCCCCAAAATCGATCGGTCCCAAGGCGTGTGCGAGGCCGCGGCTCTGGGCACCAAGAGCAAGGAAGCAACAAGGAGTGCTTAAAGGATGGTTTAGGGTTTAGGGTTTAGGAGTGCTTAACTAGGACCCAGAGTAGGCCCATATTCCCTTTTTAAGGGTTCAGGTTCCCTTTTAAGCCACTTTAAACCAAAAAGGGCACCCTTTTTATTCCTAGGTTACTCTTGGGTCTAGTTAAAGGATGTTTAGGGTTCCTTTCAAGGGTAGTATGGGGTTCTATAATAGGGCTCCCTTTAAGGATTTGGGGTTCAGGGTCTACTTAAAGGATCGTGGGACTTAGTAAGTAGGCTGTAATTGGGGTTATAAGTCCCCCAAGTGGGGTTATCCTAATTATAATCTAATTATAACTTATAACCTTACTTGCCAAGGAAGCAACAAGGAGTGGGAGTTTGAATATTACCCAAGGGTCCATGTACCCAAATAGTATATACTTTGGCGCCAAAGTACCTATATAGGGACTACTTCAAGGCCAAAGTATGCCAGGCTGTTCGGTGATACACTTTTTTACTTTCAGGTTTCTGGGTTCCTATTATGAAACAAGAAGCTTAGAAACAAGTATTTGGATGATTACTGTATATTACGGCATCATATCCCCCAAGACCAGGGCCCCCCCGGATTATGGGCTAGGACCCAGAGTAGGCCCTTATTCCCTTTTTCAGGGTTTAGGTTCCCTTATAACACCCTTTAAACCAAAAAGGGCACCCTTTTTATGCCTAGGTTACTCTTAGGTCTAGTGGGGGGGTTCGGACAATAGGGCTGCCTTACTTAGGGATCCTTTTGTTAAAACTCGGAGCCCTTGCGGTCCATATTCCGTTCGCTTCCTCCTTCCGTGTTTTGAGGTTATAAGTACCTTGATTGGGGTTATAAGTGGCTATAGGTATAGTTACCTGACTCGTAACCCGAGTTACAAAGTTTTATGATCCTCTAAGTACTGTTTCAGCAGTCGGTGTTGACAGGTGTGGGCTCAGTGGCTGTAGAGTCAGTGGCCCCCCCCACTACTGGGTTCGTGTTTTTTGCAACTTAAGTTATCATAATAGGGATCTATAAAGGTTCCTTTTAGGGGCATCTAAGAAGGGTTCCTTTAAGGGTTTAGGGTTTAAGCTTTAAGTTCCCATAACATGGATCTTTATTGTTCAGGGGTCAAGGGACTACTTGATGGGCCATTTAGGGTTGAGGAGTTTAGGGTTTAGGGTTTGTTCCGTCCTTCTGCTGAAGGACAGGATATGACAGGAGCATGCGTTGCTTTAAGCGTTCTTGCGGCATGCGTTTTACTGTGGAGACTGCGCTCTAAACCCTGAATTCCTACAGAACCCTACACACCTGTGGATACTATGGTACTATAGAGGCCTGAATAACTAGAATAGGGTGTTCTCTTTAACGGGATCCTTAAAGGGGTCCTTTAAAGGGATCTATGGAAAGCCCAGTGAATCTTCCTCAACGCCCAAGGAGGTCCTTACAAAACCTTGCTAACAAGGTCGGCTGAAAGTCGTATACAACGGTGATAAAAACCCCTACAGTATCGTAACCCCTTTAAGGTAAATTATAGGGGATCCTACCATTATTCCATATTCCAACTTTCTGGAGTTCCCTTTAAGCTCTTTGAATACCCAATTACAGAGCCCTGCAAAGCGCTGAGAGCGCTGTTTATGGTGAAGGCTTTTTGCCTTTGGGTCATTTCCCTGTCATTTGCCGCCCTGGAAGGAAGCACCAACCAACCTCATGCTTGCAGCTACTCGGCCAACACTGGGCATTTACCGTTCAGGGTTTCGGGTTTGCTGTTTTGAGCTGAGGGTGTCTGGAATTCATTTTACAGACCATAGCAGACATCGTGGGCCACTACCAGTAGAAATACTGCTCATACTGATATTACTCAGAACTCTAAGAGTGACATACCACAAAGAACAGCGATCATTATACACAGGCTATAATAGCTCTGGCCACACAAAGAACACTAACAATACCAAGTGGATTAACACTACAAACAGCACTGGCAACACGCACAACTTCAACAACCTCGCAGCACTGCCTCGGACATGACCAATAACAAGAGCATGAGGGTGTCACTGATACGTTTGATGATATAAATCCTGCATGACTCATAATAATATGGAATATACCATACTTCCCATAGTTTAGGGCCATTAAGGTAATGCCGGATTTATATCCTAAATCCTAAACCCCCTATAGATCCCTCAAAGGAACCCCAAAAAGGTACCCTTATAGATCCCTTTAAAGGAACCCTATGCTTTATATCATCAACCGTAGTGGAAATCATGGTAGTGCTGGCAGCGATATCGGGGAGAGGAATCCTGATGTATTTTGTTGGATTTGTGGTTGGGGGCCACGCAAGGAATCCCAATACTTACCCTGGGTTTGTAGGGAATGGAGTAGTAGTAGTAGTAGTAGTAGTAGTAGTAGTAGTAGTAGTAGTAGTAGTAGTAGTAGCAGTAGTAGCAGTAGTAGTAGTAGTAGTAGTAGTAGTAGTAGTAGTAGTAGTAGTAGTAGTAGTAGTAGTAGTAGTACTAGTAGTAGTAGTAATTGTATCCCATTCCTCCATTCCCTACTAACCAAGGGTAAGAATACCAGGGTATGAAGAAGATGCATGGTTGACCACCGCAACTGAGCCGCATGACTCTATACAACCCTAAACCCTAAAGCCCAAACCCTAAACCCCATATATACCCTAAACCCCAAACCGTAAACCCCTAAACCCTACACCCCAAACACTCCGCCCCAAACCCCTGATCTCGTTCCGAGGTCACGGCGGAAGCTGACAACAGCGATGGCTTTTGCAAGGCCGTTGCCATGAGTCTGACCTTGTTGGAGGAGGCGCCCTGGGCAAGAGTGGGCTTGGTGCACTTGGTAATGTAGGGGGCCTTAAGAATTACCTGTACTATTTTGGGGGTTCCATAATGTAATTATGGGATAGTATAGTATACCCCCCAAAACGATATTCTAATTATTAGGGCCCCTGCATTTGTTTCTCCTCGATCTGTGCCCGACTTGGGCTTGGAATGCTCGTGTTGCTGTGCGCCACCGTGTATGACTCTTTCTGGGGTTCCTACTCCCGTCACGACCGCTACTGCTACTCCTCCTGCCGGTGCTATTACGACGATGACGACCACCACCACCGTCACCGCCAGAAGCACCACCCTCACCACCAGCACCAGCACCAGCACCAGCACCAGCACCAGCACCAGCACCAGCACCAGCACCAGCACCAGCACCAGCACCAGCACCAGCACCAGCACCAGCACCAGCACCAGCACCAGCACCAGCACCAGCACCAGCACCAGCACCAGCACCAGCACCAGCACCAGCACCAGCACCAGCACGCCACCGCCACCGCCACCGCCACCGCCACCGCCACCGCCACCGCCACCGCCACCGCCACTACCACCGCCGCCGCCACTGCCACTACCACTACAACAAGTGAGACTCTACCTTTTTGATTTTGTGCGTGTGCCATGAGGAACTGTCCTAGGCAGTAGACTTGTCAGTCTTTCTCTCAGCGGGCACCGTTACAAGCAGCTCCTCTAGCACCAAGGTGACATCACCGTTGCGGTGAGTCGACACAATCATTGCCATCGTTGTCTGATGCAGCATCGCCACCTCCGATGGTGGTGTTGTTGATGATGACGACGATGAGACCATGCTGATGACGACCTTGGTGATGATGCTGGTGGTGGTGATGATGATGATGAGGCTCATCATCAGTCATCACTATCGTCAGCAGCATCACCATGGTCATCACCCAGAATATCCGAACGGCCATGCTGACGGCCCTGAAGATGACGACCCAACCCTAAACCCCTATAGATCCCTCTAAGGAAGCCTATAGATCCCTTTAAGGAGCCTTTTAAGGAGCCCTTTAAGTACTCACTAAGCCCCAAGTAAATTACGGATGGTGTTCGTGTCATTCTCGTACACTTGTCGTCATCAGCCGGGCCCCTCCTCCCCTCACCACCCGTACTATGGCAATAAGGGATCTACAAGGGTACGAAACTATAGGGGCCCAGATAATTACCAATGCTATTTTCGGGTGTTCCTTATTAAATTATAGTAGGATGGGCTCCAAAACCCTGTTCTAATTATGAAGGCCCCGATATTGCGATTCTGATCTTCATCACCGTCAGCAGTGTCAGCTCCCTGACGCCTTCACTGCCTTCATCAGCAACATCACCACTCTGCCATCATCATGACGGCTTTTGTCATTCTCACCGTCATCTTGACTATGACCATCGTCATCATCATCATCATTATCTTCAGGAATCTCTTCTTGTTCAGGACAGGCATGCCCATGCATAATGTTGATGTGCCGCCAGTGCATGAGCTCCAGATGTTGAAGAGAACAAACTTTAAGTATGACATGCTGCGCAAATCGCAAACCCTGATTGCCCAAACTATCTGCCTTAGCTACCCTAAGTCTGCACATGACCCTGCGACGAGGTTGAGCAGCGCTACTACTTCGATCATTGGTGGCATCCAGAGTCCTTCCTCTTCTCCATCCATATGGAGCACGAAGATTTGAAGGACCTCCTGGCTGTGCTGACTTTGCTTGCGGACGTAGGAAGCAGGCTGCACGGTTTTGGGGTTTAGCCTTCCGGCTATAGGGCAGCGTATTGTGGCGTTGCAGTCTTGAATGTCTGTGGCTTCTCCGATTGCTTTCGCAAAGTTCCCCCCACCTAGCCCTAAAGCCGTAGACACGACGGTATAAGATGATGATGATGATGATGATGATGACGATGATGATGAGCATGCTGCCGCCGGGGCACAGCAATGCGACGGTGATGATCAGAGAAAAGACTCTGGACCATCATCCCAGTGCTGATGAGAACCGCAGCCCTGCGGACGACCGCAAAGGTGAGGGGCGAAGTCTTAGCAGTAGTGGTGGAATACCCCCTTATAGTGTTCATAATGTGATTCTGCATACACCAAAAAGATCCCGTTCTATTTGTGGAGGACCCTACATGGTCAAGACATGAAACGACAACCAAGACCTCGCAGGCTCCAAATAGGGCTGTAATGTCCGAGCGATGTCTGCGGGCCTTACCGTGTTTATGATGATGATTGTTTAGATGTGAGCTTACCGACTTGAACTTACTTGGTTTAAACTCTAAACCCAAAGCCCCAGGCCCTAAACCCCAAACCCTAAGCCATGGGACCCGAAGCCTTAAACCCTAAAAGGAGCCCTAAACCAAACCCTAAGCCCGAAGCCCTACAAAGAGCCATAAACCGCTCCAAAAAGCCCCCCGCGCGAGGAGGAGTTGGCTGTGGAGCTGGGCGAGAACTTCCTTGCACGAGCCGACTCCCTTGGGCGTGTGTTGGATAATTGCTTAAGCCTTTAGGGTTTTAGGGCTTCAGGGTTCAGGGGTTTAGGGTTCAGGGGTTTAGGATTTGAGGGGGGAGGAGTTGGGGTTCAGGGTATGGAGTTTGGGCCTTGAGGGTTTAGTGTTCAGGGTTTATGGGGGTGGGGGGTTCCACGGTTTTTCTGAACAAAGACGATGCCAAGAACTATAGCATACGTAGTTGCTGATGGCTGTTCCTTTTGGTTTGTTGGTTTCTGCTTGCATTCTTTTTCGGGGGATTTTGCGGTACCGTTCCGACATCCGGAATTCGGGCTAGATCATGTATGAAGGGAGTTCAAGTGTCGCTGCTGTTGTTGATAGTCCTGCCGCTCGTTGTCTTCTTCGCTATTTCTCTTAAAATATCTTCAGGCTATTGTTTGGTCGGAGTGACGCAGCCCCGATTCGGCGTGGTCTCTGAAGCTTTGCAGTACCCTTTGAGGGCTTAGTATAGGGTTTCTGCAGGTCTTCTCGGGATGTTGTGTAGGAATCCCTGTCTTGGGATCCTACTGTCTGACCGCCGGTATTAATGCCCCCTCTTTCCTGAAGTCGATGTACATCTGCCCCAAGGTCAGCTGAAGTGGCAGCAGGACATAGGCACCGTTGCGGAGGAACAGCCGCAGTCTGGGACATGTTGCTTCGAACTTCTGTGGTATTACGATGTTGCCACATGGGTAGTTGTCAAAATTAGGGTCCCTAATTGGGTACCCTAAATAATAGGTGCCGTACTATAATAGGGACCCAAAAAGGGACCAAAATTTTGACAACCACCCACATGGTGTAACTAGACTCTAGACTGTACACTGTTGTAGTCGTGCTCCCAAGAAGGCCTCAACTTCCTGTACCAACACAGCCCGTCGTAGGTCTCATCAGATGAGTCATGACACAGGAGGAGGAATCATGCGACAGTCTGCGTAGGGGCCGTGATCATGGTAATTTTGAGGTGCATAAGAACAACAACAGAAGGCTGTTTGGTGAGATAGTGGCGGTGCTGGTGGCTTTAGTTGGAGTCGGCGTCGTGATTGCCGTCCTCTCCCAACAGACACCACTTCAGCTCTAGCAACAGAAGCCGCACTAGCCTGGAAAGCTAAAATGCTCCAAGTGGTAAATATGGAGTTCGAACCGACCAGGACGGCTTTGGCTTCGATGTGACTTCCCGGAATTCTCCATTGCACTGACAATGGCCTCCAGATTTTAATCGAATTCTTTTGCAGCTTGTGCCACCATGATGACGAATTTCGCAGGGCATGTGCTGAAGTAAGCCTGAACCTCACTACTATGTCACCGTTGGGTAGCGTGTTTCATTTTTATGGGTACTTAAAACCAATAAGAAATAGAAGTGTACATGCTTAATGCATCTTAATGCTGTCCCAACCATGAACTACTGTAGACGACCAGTCGCTGATCCGTATACCTTTTGGTCTTAGCCTCAGACGATTGGTCTCTCGTTCATAGGCACCCTTAGAGGGGTACTTGTAGGGGGGAGGGGGGGTGGGGGACTAGAAGGCCTGAAAAACGAACATTAAGGCCCCTACCCCCGTCCCCCTGACCCCCTAAGGGTCTCTATGACTCGTGATCTTTAAGTCCGGGTGCAAGGTTTGGTGGCGTTTTCGGGACAACTGTCTGTTTCTTAGTAGAGAATGGGCGAATGGACTATGGGGACTGTTATTGGGGCGTACATAGAGACTACTAAAGGGATGCGGTCCCCCATTCCCTAGTAAGAACCAGACAGATATCGGCATCAGGGTATGTAGGATTGGGTTACATTCCCGTAAACGCCTAGCATCAGCTTCGTGGCACCATGGTGCAGTAAAGGCTGCGACATTAGCAGAAAGAATTGGACATTGCAGACCTGCCTCGGATTGTGAGACGCCGAGTACGGAATATAATCGAAACGTGTGGAAGGGATCCTCAGAGTGTTTTTGCCTTTCTGGGTTTAAGGGTTTAGGGTTTCGGGTTTAGGGTTTAGGGGTGTAAACCCGGAACCCTAAACCCTAAACCCTAAACCCTAAACCCTAAACCCTAAACCCTAAACCCACACCCACACCCCTAAACCCTAAACCCTCAACCCACACCCCTAAACTCTCGAACATCTTGAATCATCGAGGCTCCGGGTTGAGGGGTTGGGGCTCACCCAGTTCAAAGGGTGCAAACTCCAGGTCGTCATCTGTGAATCCCCGCCACTGCCAGGAGTATGGCGGTTACTTAGGGGTACTTAGAAATACTTTTTAATTTTTGGTTATTATAACTCCTAAGAAACAGCTAAATTATGATTTTTGCTAGGGTTCTAAGTTCAGAAAAGGTTATGTAGTGCGAGTTCTGCTAGTAGGACTACTGCTAGCAGCGAGTTCGCTACGAGCAAAAGATCCGACGACAGCTAGACCGTAAAATGTATAATCGTGTTGATCTTTTCGCAAGACGGAAGACGGTAGTTGTCCGTTCCCTGGCCATTCCGTGCACGTAGTCATACCATGAACCCGAAACGCCCTAGCGCGTAAACCATCAAGCCCCAGGCCGGAAAATGTAAACCCAGAAACACCAAGCCCCTACAGTTGCGGTAAAGGAGCCCCAAAACCCTATTCTAATTATGAAGGCGTCGGCGGCACTGTCGTGTCCTTGAGGGCCAGGATCCGAGAGCCAGGTCATGAGCACAAGGCCTTTCAGAGCTTCGCTCTGGGGCTTAGGTCTTCTGAAGTCCAAGCAGTCAGAAGTATGGCCTCCCCCTGCGCGGTTCAGACTTCCGTGGACTGGAGGCTTATGGTTTTGGGCTTGTAGTTTGGGTTTGCGGGTAGGGTTCGAAGTCTTAGTTTTGGGGCTCGAGCTTTCGGATGAGGAGAGCAACCCCAAGAAACTATGCTTCCAGCAAAAGCAGGGAGAGGTTGCTTACAACCACCACCACCGCCACGATGCCGCAGGAGATGGACTGTCCTGACCTCAAGTTCCACATGTGCACTTTGCCTCACCCTAGAGCTAGCAGAATGCCTGAACTAAGGAAATGTCACAGATAGAAAAAATCTCGGGGTAAGGCCTGTTGCAATTCTAGGGATATTCGAGCCTGCGGCGTACTCTTGCAGAAAGCTTGTTTGGATGTAATTCACCGCCCTAGACCGCAACCCCGACAATTCACAACGTGTGAACGTATTCGGAAAATACAGGACCATCGTATAGATCATGAATAGCAGGGCCCTTGGTAAGGCTCACTAATGTAGGACCCTGCAAAATGAAGGGACCCCTTGTTTTAAGAAGCTTCTACTTAAAGGAGCATGGGACCTAGTAACTAGGGTCATAGTTAAGGTAACTTTATTTAAAACCACTTATAACCCAATTAAGATACTTATAACCTTACTTACTAAGTCCCATGAGCCTTAAACGCTCTCCGTTTACCTCTTCTCCCAGCGGTCGCGGCAGCCCTCGGCTGTCACTGTGGCCTTGCGCGATGGAGGCTTGGGTGGCTTCTTAACGAAATGGGAGTTTCCGAATATTCGGGGTACCTTATCTTGGGGGTCCTTATAATAAGGCTCCTCCCATTTAGGGTACTATATTAGGGTGGAAACTGCCAAATAGGGTTGACGTTACGGTTTTGGTATGCGTATACAGGGCTGAGTAGGAGTATGATGGGCTAGTCGTAGCAACCCTACTTCTGATGCTGAGGGTTCATGCGGATGTCGAAATAATGGTAGACACCCTAGAAACTATAGACTCTTCATACAAGCCTCCCTATAGAATCCTTCCGGATGCCTTATAGAAGCCTTCCTTAACCCTTGAAGACACCAAGGCAAAAGCCGTAGTACCACAATACTACGGCTCCCATTTTGATGCTCAAGAGCCTATAATAAAGACCCTGACCGAGACCGTCGTAGATGCTTATCCACCTAATATAGGCAGGACAGTCGCCCACTAAACCCTTAACCCCAAAGCTAAACCCTTAACCCTAAACCCTAAACCGGTCACACTTTGATGAATCCACCTGAGCCGGGAGCTTGTTCTGAGCTCTCACTTCGTCTCGAGTTGCTCCTCGGCGGGGGAGGTCGGAGCTGCGAAAAACCTGCAGAACCAAGCTCGATGTGCTCTGCTTCTTTCAACTTTGAATGGGCATCGGCATGTCACAGCCACAGGTCTTAGGGTTAACTGGTTACAACTCCATGGCTTTGTTTCCAAGATTTAGGGCTTGGCCTCTCGCCGAGGAGCAGTGCGTGCTCTCTCTTTTCGTTTCACCGGGCAATGTGTCGAGGAACATTGCGCCGCGAGAAGATGATAAAGCTTTCAGCCGCTTCGGATATCGCTCGGTCCCTAAACCATTAACCCGGGGATCTTAGTATCCTAGACCCTGTTCCCTGAACGAACCTAAACCCTAAGCGCAAGGATCCTAGACCCGGGTCCCTAAACCCAACTAGACCTTATTCCCTAAACCCTACTGAGCCCCTAAAAGGCCCTAAGCCCATCAAGGCCCTAAGCCCTCAACCATAGTAAGCCGCCGAAGGCCCTAAACCCATAAAGGCCCTAAACCCTGAACCCTACTAAGCCCCTGAAGACCCTAAACCCATAAAGGCCCGAAGCCCTAAACCCTACTAAGCACCTGAAGACCCTAAACCCATAAAGGCCCTAAACCCAAAGCCAAGGATCCCCCAAACTCGAGGCCCTAAACCCAACCAAGTGTGGCCTACGATTTGATACCGAAGGTTCACCTTGGCGTGATGTTAATGAGAGTCGGGTGGCTTGGTTTGGGGTTTAGGGTTTAGGGTTTAGGGTTTAGGGTTAAGGGATACCCACCGTGCCATTTCTGTCATGACGGGTCTTCGGAGATACGGTTGATGATAGACATCCTGCATGAGCCACAATAAGAAATATACTATAATTCGCATAGTCTAGGGTCATGAACGTAATGCAGGGTTTATATCATCAGCCGTATGCACAAACCATCGCTGCTGATCGGCTGCGCAGTTTTCCAGAAGAGACGAAAGGACCTCAAGGAGATCCTTTGACCGATTTAGGCCTTGGGGACTAGGGCTTACGGTTTAGCGTTTAGGGGGTTTAGTGTTTAGGGATTAAGGTTTAGGGTTGAGGGTTTAATTTTGGGATCAGGGCTGAGGGTTTATGTTGAGGGACTCGACCGAAAATCCTGCACCCTGAGCCCTAAAACCAGAGCCCCGAAGCAGAATCCAGGATTCCTATCCGGGTAAGGTCTGTTCTTTCAGCACCATCCTTCGTCGGTCTTCTTTTACCACTTAGTACCAGAGACTCCCAGCATGGTCAGCAACTTGTTGCCGACCACATCATGGTATCCGTATCTCGGGACTATGTGCGGAAAATTGTGTACTACACTAGCCAGACCCCGGGGAGGATCTAGAAAGTAGATCCCCTGATTTGGGGCCCTAAACTAAGGATACTGTATAGGACCCCCCATTAAGGGATCTACTTTTTGGATCCTCCAAAGGGGGTCTGGGTAACTGTTCAGACCTCTCTGTTAGGGCCATGGGGGGTTGCTGCGGCCGGAGCGGTGTCGAGTCCTCGGCGGTGGCGCCGCTTCCCGGAGGGCCCTCCGGAATGCTACAGCGCTGGTCAGAGGCAGGAAGAGCTAC